ACCTGCTTAATTTATTGATTGGTATAGCTTACAATTTAGTTTAAATTACACACACTACTAATTAGAAGTTATCCAAATGTATTAATTAGTTTTTACGGGCTGCAGAAGCAGAACTTTAGTCTGCAGTCCATTTTTGTCTTGTTGTACCTAGTGCAGATGATGTAATTTCTTCCTTTACTGGTTATCATTTTTTGTTCTTACAGCCTTCTAATGCTAATTACGCGATCTTCATCTTACCATCCTGATTGCCATGCTTCACCCTCACCTTTGAAGTTCAGATACACTTGTGTGAATCCAATGATAGGCCAACCTGCCTCCGTTTACTATTGAATTGTTATGGCATATTTAAGCTTCATGAAGTTCCTACCACATTTTATCTATTTATTAGCAATTATTAGGGATTTCCGAAATTATATGATTAAAAAAAATCGGGTTCATACTTTTCTAATGTCTTTTATATTATGTTCAATACATTGATGGAGACACACAATGACATCCAAGCTCATCTTATAGAAATTGTTTGGCAGGTCGACGCTGCTCTTGATCTAAGTCATACCCAGAACATTGGAAGGATGATCAGAACTCATTTTCCACATTCCCAGGTTCATTATTTTCCCTGCTGTCCCTCTCCCTCCTTTCCCTTCCTAGCATTATTCTATATATGCAATTTACTGTGGAATCAAAGCAGGACAGTGTCTTCTGCTACTTCAAACAATTTCATTGTATCAAAGAGAAGCAGGGGTGATTTCTCCAAAATTAATAAAAAAAGCAGAAGCGTATAGAGAAGTAATAGTTCATCTGAAATGGTATCAGATTATCATTCAAGAAAGCTAATGGATTTCAAGAAGATTTCGTGTCATCGTTAATCAATCATTTATATCAGAATAGCATCTATCATTAATCTACTTTTGTTTTTGCTGCAGTTTATTGTAGTTTCTTTGAAGGAAGGCATGTTTAACAATGCCAATGTTCTTTTCCGAACAAAATTTGTGGACGGTGTATCTACTGTGCAGAGAACGGTCGCAAATAAGCAAAACAAGTGATTTCAGTTAACTGGTGAGATTATTGATAATATCTGTGTAATACTAATTATATGCAAAGTACTCAATTATGCTTCAGAATCCTAATCTCATAGTATCTTTGAGCACTAATAGACAATTAGATATGGCTTTTGACTCATGATGTGTTCTCAAGGAATGTCGTACTGTAGTAGGCAGAAACGTGGTTGTTCAGTTTAATGAATCTAGGTCTAATGAATTATAAGTATCAGATCTAGTTTAATGTTTAAAATGGAGACATTGGAAGTACTTATTAAAAAGCTTAGTGGATTAGCATCTCATTTTGCATGTCAAACTCTCTTTTCAATAATGTGAAATCTATTATAATTCAAATCAATGTGGGTATGTTGTTTAATTCTTAAAGAAGTCCCATTCATAAAGTGAGTTAATTTGTAGTAGAACATGTGAGAAGAGAGAAAGGTACACCATTAGAATGGACTGTAGTATTTACTGAGAATCTAGTTGGTTTAGATTTTTTAATAGAGAGTGGCAGAAAGATGTTTTCATAGTAGACTCCAAATTTTAAGAGAGCAAAGCTTGGTTGTGTTTTCTAATTCCATTTTGTTTTCTTCCATACAGATTCTTGATCTGTCTGTATCTACGGCTGGATACAAGCTGCTGGACTCTAGGAATGTCGTACTTGTATGTTGTTTTGATATATTGCAATTTTAATGTTTTTGATGTATGCTTAAATATGTAATCTTCCAATTTAGTTAATATTAGGTGAGCGGCTGTACTATGATCGTTCCGGAGACGTGGCCTATTCAAAAGACCTCTTGTATGCTTTAAGCTCCGTTCTGTCAATTATACCTATTGGCAGTAAACTGTCTCTAGTAAGATGTATATGATTAGCTGTAATGTATTTATTCAAGTTTCTTTCATTTTTCATTTTTTTATTGCAAATGATGGATGGAACATTTTGGATTTTATGAAAATGAAAAGGACAACAATAGTAACAAAATAAGTAAATTGACATTGAGTCTTGTGTATAAAATTGTATATTTTGCACGCTACTGTATTATGTGTAATATCAAATAACATATCCTATTTGAATTAATTTCATCGACAAAGTTTGAAAATGTTGTTGCATATAATTTGACTAATTTTAATCTTTTTATATACAATGGTGGAAGTTATTTGTCTTACATGGAGTTATATAACTACATTTAAAGTTTGTTCTCTAGAAGCCTCACAAAACGTCAATAAGTAGGTACTGTGGCATGAGGAAAGGGTGGTTAATGAGGGACTGATACAGACGAGCAAATCTTGGGGCCTAATAAGAAAGTGCAACTAATGATGCATAACTCTAAGGAAACAACAATAGAGGGTATATCTAATAGTTTTTTGAATAGCGTTCGAATAAGGGACCACATCAAGGCTTTGAAAGGGGAATTAGATGAATTAATCAGGTCAATAGATAATGGGATTAGTGGGCGTCGACTTATTATCATAAGTGTGAAGTGGACTTGAATGAGTGTCTGGTCAATGGTATAAATGTAGCAATCTTGGATTCTAAGTAGTTAACATCGAATTGAACCTATGGCAAAGAGGTGCTAGTTGAGCCAAGTGGTGAGTCCCAAGTGTTGACTAAAGCAATAAAGGTGGAATCTTGGGTTAAGGTAGGGGAGTAGAGTATGTTAAATCTAGGGTTAGAGATTATCGATGCGACCAAAGACAATTTTTCCATTATTTAGGGTGCGGTGGACACGAATCCAATATAGGGGTTAGTGTTGGCAATAGAGCGAGAGATCGAATTTGTATTGGCAGATAGTCTAGTTATAGTCTAGTTTCGGTAATTGAAAAATAGCAAGGGTGACAGGCTCTGCAACTATGGTAGTGAACACCTACATGAGGAGATTTTTCGAAGTCTACAAAAGAGGGGGATTTAGGGAATGATAGGGCTTTAGTGGTGTAGTTTGATGACATCAAGAATAGGGATATACACAGTGACACAGTAAAGGTTGAGGAAAAGGAGGGACACTACTATGATCCTCCTCACGATGAGGAGAGAGCACATTTATATCTCTCTTGAGGCTTATTCTTATTTTTAAACGTTTTTCGAAATTTCTTAGCAAAATAAGGTATTTCTTCATCATTTTGTGACTCCGAATCAGAAGATTCATTATAGTTATCCCTAATGGTATTCAAGACCAAAGACTTATCTTTTGTAGGTTTAGATAATGTTAGTTTACAAGTTTTGAGAGATTTAACCAACTCTTCAACGTTAATAACATCTATGTCCTTACTCTTCTCTATAGCCTTGATTTTAGGCTCAGAATCTCTTAGGTAAGGATTTAAGGATTTTTCTTGACAATCTTAGGCTCAGAATTCTCTCACCAAGATTGAAGCTAGGGTTACCAGTATCATTCAAGCTTGCATAGAAGTCATCGAATGTCTCATTCTCTTTTATCCTAATCTCTTCAAATCTAGTGGTCAATATTTGTAACTTGGAGTTCTTAACCGTCTGAGTTCCCTCATGTGTAGTTTGCAAAAATATCTCAAAGCTTTTTAGTAACCTCACATGTAGATACTCGCCTAAATTCTTCAGGGGACACTGTCATAAACAACGCATATAGGGCTTTACTATTCCAATTGCACTTATCTAAATTAGATTTTGACCAATTAGCAATAGGGTTGGAGGTGATGACACCATTGACGGTGCTCGAAGGCGCCATCCAGTCATTCACTATGATTAACCCAATACGCTCATCCATCGATTTTAGGAAGGCTCTCATTCTAACTTTTCAATATGCGTCGTTTACTGGTATCAAAATATAGCAAGTCAAAAAACGTATCGAAAACCTCCATGAGTAGAGAAGGATCTACGAACATATATCTGTGAGAATGGTTCAGTAAAAGTTAACCACCAGCTATCTTTACACAATGAACTGCTCATATGGAAAAACTAGGGTCAAGAATCGAATTTGGCTCTGATACCACTTGAAAGTTTCCCTAAAATCATTTAGAGGAGGATGATTAGGTGAAATCAGTGGAACTAAAATTATCAATTAACAGCAACAAGTCACCTATTAATTGTTTTAGAAATTTAGTCAATCGAGTCAAATTTATCTTACATTGAATTGCCACAGTAATCACTAAACAGTAAATAACACAGATTTGTTGACCAAAAAAATCCTTTGCAGGATTAAAAAATTCAGCACCAAGCCAGTAATCTCCACGATAGACAATAAGAACTTACAGTATGATCCAGCTTAAAAAACTCGCTAGACTCTCTGATGTAATTCTTGCAATCTTCAAGACTCCCTAGAACATGCTTTACTCACACATGTTACTGATCTTTTGGAATTGTCTATCTCTTATGGATCACCAAGAACACCTTGTTTTTGTACTCTTCCTGTACTTCTGATCCAATGCCTTCAATCTTCAGCAACTGCTAAAAGCTCTTGAGAAAGTACCTTCCTATATGTGTGTAGGAAGTGAGTGCTTTGGATTATGTAAATTTTATTTTTTTCAAGGTTGTGGTTGAATGAACTCAATAATGAAAGGTTTAATCTAAGGTTTGAATGTGTTCTTCAGTCTTGGAAAAATATTATGGAGAAGTAATAAAATGAACAACCACAAAAAAAGAAAAAGGAAAAAAAGAAAAGAAAAAGGGTTTTAGGGCTTGTGTATATATAATAGAAGGCATTTAGGTAGCACGGGTCAGATAAAACTCTTGAAAAACGTGAACTAGAGTTTTACGCGTAACATTGTCGCTTGAGCACAGGCTAGCGACAAGCAAGCGAGCGATGTGTCATTTGAACGAGAGCTGAGCGACAGACAGGCAACAATGTATCTGTTTTTTCGCTTGAGTATCAGATAGGCGATAGACTAGCATTAATCCGACGACTTTTTCCTCCTTATTCCAAAGTCGAATCTTAAGATACATAGTTCATCTATACAACATACCAATTGACTCATTGACTTTTACAAGTTTTTATATTAGTTATTTTGTCTAGAGAATTGCCAATACAATTAAATCCTAACAGTATTGACATGGTTTAATTATTTTACAATTATTAATCACAAGATCAATTCAATTTATGACCTTTATTTATCGAGACCCCTTTTAGTTTACCTAAAAGTCAATGAATTGTATGATTAAAAAATTGACAAAAGTTGTAGGCTCAATGAAATGTATGGTTAAGTTAATTACTAACTTTAACTTAGATTTTTATCAACTTTTTTAGCTAAATCAAATGTGTGCTAAATTATCTTGCTATCGAAATTTACCCAAAATATGTTAGTTTAAGTTTGACTATCGAGATTTAAATTAGATTTTAAGAATATATGTCTTTGATTTGGATTTTTACGCAAGGGTAATTGACTAATTATGTCTCTCTAGAAAAAGTGTCTAGTCCACTTTATCAATCACACTATGAGATATGAGTGGTTATTTAGGGCAGGATTTATTTTGCGCATTTATATCATCTGTTGCAGTTTTATGCATTCTATACATTGGAGTCGTAAAATATATACATAGAACGACATAGTTAAAACGCTTTTGTATATGTGATTTTGATATGGTTACCTTTTTTCATTTTGAATTAGAACATCCCATCTGATGAAGTACTGAATTCACAAAACCAAAAGAAAACCACGACAAAATGTTTTAGTTTTTTATCCATAACAGAGCCAACATAAAGAAAGATGATCATTCTTCTAGCTATGATGCTGAGATCTTAAATATTTAATACATGTTTATTACATAGTATTGGCCACAAAGAGGGTGTGGCCAATATACTTCTACTTCCAAAACCACACGTTTAATGTTATGGAGTAGTCGAACAGTTTCAATATTTAATGCTCTCACTTTGTTACTCCGATTCTGAAATTATTTCAAGGTCCCTGCTGAATAGTTTTCCATGCTCAGTTGCTGCATTCTGCATTCCATTCGTGGAAGTGAATGGGTTACGGGGCATGGAGGGAGTTTCTTTTGATTCAAGCATTTGAATTACAACTTTCATGGAGGGTCGCTCGACTGGATACCATTGGATGCACCAAAGTCCCACAATAGTTAGTTTTCTAACGATCTTATTGTCGCCCTCTTTCTCAATTTGAATAGCTATTTCTTCTCCGTGCTCCAATTTGTTGTAAATCCATTCTGGAAAATAAACTTGACTTTTGTCCTGCCCACCAACATCATTTTTTTTCAATCCTCCAACCATCTCAAG